TAATTCTATCAACATTAATCTTCTCATATAGCTGTTCCATTGTTAGACTAAAATTGCAAACAAAGCCCAATTTTCTTCCAATGAACACAGAAAACCCTTTTTTTTTAAATGTGGAAAATAATTTCTCTGTTAAATAGCTTCCTTTAAAATATTGGATAACTAAGTCCTTGTAGAACAGTACAAATCCGAGGGAATTTCAAAACAGCCACCTTGTGTCCGAGGTGTGAATCCATCTCGGCAGTTAAACGTTTTTTAACAGATTCTTGTCACGTTGGGCGCCAAATGTAGATGTAATTCAGTGGTCTTATTAAACAAGAAACACAGAGCCGATTCAGAGAAGAAAGCCAAGAGGTCAGAGCCAAGAGCCTCACCCTTCCTGATTCAGGGATCCTCCTCAGCCCAGAGAGCTCTCCGAAAGAGAGAGCCCTACTTCCTGTGTGTCTCTCTCTATAGTCCTTGTTCTGGCTTCTGATTGGTTGTAAACCCAATCATGTGACTGCCTCGTCACTGCCTGTATGTACCGCCCTCCAGGTCCTTAAAGGCATATGCCACCACTGCCACGCATTTGCTATGGCTCTAATAGCTCTGACCCCAGGCAACTTTATTAACATACCACCACAAATGGAAATGCCTGAAGCAATATCAAAGCAAAACAAAGAGTAGACCCTCTCTCGGCCAGTTCAAGGTTTGCTTTACATGTTGTCAGTAGACATGTTATCTTTTCCTCAACATTTTTTGTTTGTTTTATTCTTACTGTTTAAATAAACTAATGGCAAACAGAAGAAAGCTCATGTATGAAGTTTGGATTTTTAGATCAAATGAAACATGATTACTCATTTAAATTAATACATTTTCATGATTCACAAAATTTATCTAATTTTCTTCACTAAAATCATAAAGAGTAATATTCGCCACTCATTTAGTTTTGTACAAATAGCATGTCTTGACTTCAGCTAAATATTTAACACTTGATTTTTTTATGTGTAGATTTTGTTTTTAGGTTTGGATTTTTCAACTTCTCCTTACATGTTTATTATATAAAATAAATAGACTCTCCATCAAACTTTTGTTAAGACAAATTTTTGCAGTTTCAATCTTAGGATAGTCTAAAAATTGTGGAAACTTTATTAGTTTTCAAGATTAGATTTTATAAAAATGATTAGAAATGAAATATTAAAGAAAACTTCAGATAATGCACACCAGTGAGAAAAAGAGACATAATTATTTTAATTCATTGAGATATTCAAAACTATCAAAGCTTTTACCAATTTTCAAGATAATATGTCATCAATATGTAATTAAGTAGTATTTTTCCTGAAATTTTATTGAATTTTCATGCACTGAGCTTATAATACTAATGCTAAACTTGCATAAAATTCAAATATCATTAACATGTTTTCATGTGAAAAGTATTTCTGAATTCATTCATCAGAGATCCTTCTCTAAAATAAAATATCCCCTAAAGGTAGAAAGCAATTTATATTTTAATGATTTTCTAATATTTTTTGCACAAAGATAATAAAAATAGTGCTTTTCAAAAACACTGAGAATTCTACCTAAAATTAAAAATGAATAAAATGTGGTTTTAATAGATTCCATTTACAAACCTAAGCAATTATTGGAAGTCATCTGAATCTTTTTTCTAGACTATATATTTATATTAAAAACTTCAATTTCTGTAGTCATTCATAATTTTTTATTTGTGTTTAAGAAAATTAACAAATGCACCTATGTCAGTATGTATTATACTATATATAATTATACATACATGTGCATATTATGTATAATATATCTATTTAAGCATAGCATTAGAAGCAAGTTGACTAATCAACTTGGTGAAAGAAAAATTGATACGTACTTAGTCACTGTGTTGTAAGAATATAGAAGGCACCGAATTGGTAGTAACCAAGTCTTCATCATTTTTTTGGTCAATCCTAATCATAAAGCTACATAGAAGCAACTGGCCATTAGTCAACCACATACAAAGAGAAACTTCATCAATGTGAAGATTCCTGAGTGCTAGAGAAATGGCTGAGTCTGTAAAAGGCTTGCATTGAAATAACAAGGATTTGAATTTGGTTTCCCAGCATCCACATAAAATCTGTGAAGAGGCACATTCTTATTATGAGTATTAGGGAGGCAGAGATAGGAAAATCGCTGGAACTCCCCAGTCAACCAATCTAGACCAATTATTAAGCTCCAGGTTCAGTGAGAGTTTGTCTCAAATAATTTGGAGAGTAATAGAGGAAGATAAATACCAAGTGCCTGTGTTAGCCCCTACCTGCACATACACTCACCCTGTCACATACACACAGACACATGCTACTGCATCCATGATTCAGTGGACATTAGGGCTTTATTACCAGAAAATAGGTACAAAATTTATTCAAGTTATCAAAATGGTTCTTGACATTTTATAAAGTGTACAAATTATATTTTGATATACAACATATTAAACTTAAACTTTAAATGTATATAAGCTCTTATAATTACCATTAGTTCTATGAGGCAGACATTATTATACATTAGAAAATGAAGCTCAGATAGATTTAGAAAGCCATTGAAGGTCAAGAAAGCAATTTTGAATATTGCTTTCATAGCTTTTTTTTTACAATGTTATTAGTATCTTTCCTGTGTAAAGCCATTTATAAATAAAATTTGATTAGAAAGTTACTTAATGTTTAGGAGAAAAAAATCATATATCATTCTATTGGATAAGGTGTTTATTTTGAATCATGGAAATTGAGACACATTCTGATTAACTGTGTATCTGATACTATCACAACCTAAAATGCATCTGGAAATCAAATGCACAAACTTAGGAAAGCATATTTAATACTTAATTAATATACTTCCTTTTGGATTGACTTCTACAAAATGAAAATTAAGTGCAAAGAAGAACTGTTATACTTGATTAATATATATGAATTTTATATTTAAAGGAAGAATATTTTAACAATACATAAATGTTTAAATTAAGAGCTGAATCCAAAGAATAATAGTAATAGGAATAGGAGATATTCTGTACTACTTTAGTTATGATTTGAACATTTCTGATTTATCTAGGAACACAATTTTTAAATGATTTTAAAATGTATATGTTAATTTTTGTAGAGCATTTAAATTAAAAGAAATCACCAAAACAAGATGACATGAAAATTTACAGATAAAAATTTGTAGGATATATAGATATTTATACTGGCTGAAAATTTCTAGGGGTAAGGGGCCTGGCATGGTTTTCCATGCCTTTAGTTAGATCTCTCTGTTTTCAAGACTAAAATGATCTACATAGCGAGTTCTAGGCCCGATAAGGGTTGCAGAGTGAGACTATGTCTCACAAACAAAATCCAGAAAGGAAAAGAAAATCATAGGGATGGCATTATTTATGGACAATATAGAGAACATTTTGAAATGTGTAGATGACAAATGTTTCTTCTAATGATTTATTTATTCACGTTCATTGAAGATCAAATTAAAAGCCCTCCTATAATATGGATTATTTTTACACCCTACACACACACACACACACACACACACACACACACACATGCATAAATAAATCATCTGCTATCAAAATATGCAAAAAAACATAGCGTATCTTTGTGTCTGGATTATTTCACTTAATTTCTAATTCTATCCATTTCTTACAAATATTATGGTTTCATTTTTCTTTATGGTTGAATAAAATTCCATTGTATGAATATATCACATTTTCTTTGTCCATTAATGTATTGACAGACATGACATATACCAAATTCACTCTAAGTCAAGCCACCCATGTAATTTCATTTTCATATTCATTGCTGCACTCTTCACAATAGCTAAGAAATGGAACCAAACCAACCTATTTGAATTGCTGCTTGTAGGGAAGAAAAGGACAATGGCGTTTTCTGAGGTTATAGTACTTGAAGAAAATTTTCACAATAGATAATCAATATAAAAATAGGTGACATAGTTTAGGTTAAGCAGATCACTTATTTGTTCAGGATTAAATGAAAATACTAGACTAGCTAAATATGCTACCCCTAAATATTGCCAGGTTGATTTTCCATGTCCATTATCTACAGTCATATCTCTTTTTACCAGGATCTCATATACTCTCAAGTTTTAACTACCTCCTTTGAGTACTTATAACTGGTCCAAAATATTATTTTGCCTCAAATATCTTTATGACTTAAAACATAGCAACAAAAATAATCTGTGGTTATTTGCCTATGAATGTCTTCCAGAGGCTCAGGAATTCTAGGAGGTACTGCTTTGCTGAAGGTATGATGATGCAACTCCTGGCGTGTTCCTGGCATGCGCGTTTGACCAGCAGTATGGCGGGAATGAGTCGTCTGCCAGCGACACATTACGCTGTGTGGAAGATTTAGTCTTTACTAGTATTAAAAAAGAGAGAGAGAGAGGTTTCTGGGCTACATGCTACTTTGATAGAAGCATAGACCCACTATTTCTGAGACTTGATGGCTCCCAGAGCTGGCGGAAAATGTACCTCCTCCATGTTGGGAAGTTAAAGAGGGCAGAGCCAGCAACCACAGCGCCATTTCAGTCTTAGAATGCTGCAGTTTAAAGCAATAGGTTCACAATACCACTGATTCATGATCATGGTATCTCTCCTGCCAGGCTATGTGGTGTTACCCAGCTTGGGAGATCCAAGGGCGGGAGCATCATGCCAGTGACCCTGAGAAGCGCTATCATAGGAGTGGAGCAGTACTGTCATTCTTACCAAGTTGAGCCTTAGTGACTCTGTGGCTGAAGTTAGTGACTGGACTCTGGACAACTATACCCATCTCTAGGAGTGAGACTTAGACACTTTCTAGTAGTTGTGACTTAAAGAAAAAAAAAAAAAAAAGAAAAGGAAACCTGTTTCTGGAGACTCGAGGCCCCAAGATGGTGAGCCATCGTGGTTAACCTTCTTTGTGTGGCTCCTAGAGTCCTCGATCCCAGCTGGACACCTGGGCCTGCGTACAAAGCGCAGCTTTGCGCTCCTTGGCTAGTGCTCGAGGCTCGGTTTCTCTACCCGGGCCCCATCTCGTCGCAGCAGGATGATCGCCTCGCATATGATCACCTGCTTATTCACCGAGCTCAACCAAAACCAAGTGCAGAAGGTTGACCAATATCTGTACCACATGCGTCTCTCAGATGAGACCCTTCTGGAGATTTCTAGGCGGTTCCGGAAGGAGATGGAGAAAGGACTAGGAGCCACCACGCACCCTACTGCAGCTGTGAAAATGCTGCCCACCTTCGTGAGGTCAACTCCGAATGGGACAGAACATGGAGAGTTCCTGGCTTTGGACCTTGGAGGAACCAACTTCCGTGTGCTTCGAGTACGGGTGACAGATAATGGCCTCCAGAAGGTGGAGATGGAGAACCAGATCTATGCCATCCCTGAGAACATCATGAGGGGCAGTGAAACCCAGCTGTTTGACCACATTGCCGAGTGCCTGGCCAACTTCATGGACAAGCTGCAAATCAAAGCGAAGAAGCTCCCACTGGGCTTCACCTTCTCATTCCCCTGCCACCAGACGAAACTAGATGAGAGTTTCTTGATCTCATGGACCAAAGGGTTCAAGTCCAGTGGTGTGGAAGGCACAGATGTGGTGGATCTGATCCTGAAGGCTATCCGGCACAGAGGGGACTTTGACATTGACATTGTGGCCATGGTGAATGACACAGTTGGGACCATGATGACCTGTGGTTATAATGATCAGAACTGTGAGATTGGTCTGATTGTGGGTACTGGCAGTTATGCCTGCTATGTGGAGGAGATGCGTCACATTGACATGGTAGAGGGTGACGAGGGACGGATGTGCATCAACATGGAGTGGGGAGCCTTTGGGGACGATGGTACCCTCAATGACATCCGCAACAAGTTTGATCGAGAAATCGACATGAGCTCACTGAACCCTGGGAAACAGCTGTTTGAGAAGATGATCAGCGGGATGTACATGGGGGAGCTGGTCAGGCTCATCCTGGTGAAGATGGCTAAGGAAGAGCTGTTATTTCAGGGGAAGCTCAGCCCAGAACTCCTTACCACTGGCTCTTTCGAAAACAAAGATGTATCAGATATCGAAGAGGAGAAGGAAGGACTACAGAAGGCCTACCAGGTCCTGGTGCGTCTGGGTCTGAATCCGTTGCAGGAGGACTGTGTGGCCACACACCGAATCTGCCAGATTGTGTCCACGCACTCGGCCAGCCTGTGCGCAGCCACCCTGGCCGCGGTGCTGTGTCGAATCAAGGAGAACAAGGGCGAGGAGTGTCTTCACTCCACCATCGGTGTCAATGGCTCTGTCTACAAGAAACATCCCCATTTTGCCAAGCGTCTTCACAAGGCCGTGAGGAGGCTGGTGCCCGACTGTGACGTTCGCTTCCTCCGGTCTGAGGATGGCAGCAGAAAAGGGGTTGCTATGGTGACAGCGGTGGCTTACCGGCTGGCTGACCAACACCTGGCCTGCCAGAAGACCCTGGAGTCCCTGAAACTGAGCCACGAGCAGCTGCTGGAAGTCAAAAGGAGGATGAAGGTAGAAATGGAGCAAGGTCTGAGCAAGGAGACACATGCTGTAGCCCCTGTGAAGATGCTGCCCACTTATGTATGTGTGTGTCACCCCAGATGGTACAGAGAAAGGAGACATTCTGATCTTGGATCTTGGAGGAACAAATTTCCGGGTCCTGCTGGTGCGTTTGCGTAACGGGAAGCAGAGGGGTGTGGAGCATAGTTGGAACTATGATGATGCATAAGATCTACTCCATCCCGCAGGATGTCATGCACAGCACTGGGGAAGAGCTCTTTGACCACATCATCCAGTGCATCGCGGGCTTCCTTGAGTACATGGGCATGAAGGGCATGTCTCTGCCGCTGGGTTTCACCTTCTCCTTCCCTTGCCAGCAGAACAGCCTGGACCAGAGCATCCTCCTCAAGTGGACAAAGGGTTTCAAGGCATCTGGCTGTGAGGGCAAGAACGTGGTCACCTTGCTCAAAGAGGTGATTCACCGGCGAGAGGAGTTTGACCTGGATGTAGTTGCTGTGGTGAATGACACAGTTGGGACTATGATGACTTGTGGCTATGAAGACCCTAACTGTGAAGTCGGCCTCATTGTTGGTACTGGAAGCAATGCCTGCTATATGGAAGAGATGCGAAATGTGGAGCTGGTAGATGGAGAGGAGGGACAGATGCGTGTCAACATGGAGTGGGGGGCCTTTGGGAACAACGGCTGCCTGGATGACTTCCGCACAGAGTTTGATGTTGCTGTGGATGAGCTCTCTCTCAACCCTGGCAAACAGAGATTTTAGAAGATGATCAGCGGCATGTACTTGAGCGAGATTGTGCGCAACATCCTCATCGATTTCACTAAGAGAGGGCTGCTCTTCCGTGACTGCATCTCCGAGCGCCTCAAGACAAGGGGGATCTTTGAGACCAAGTTCCTGTCTCAGATCAAAAGTGATTGCCTGGCCCTGCTGCAGGTCCGTGCCATCCTGCGCCACCTGGGGCTGGAGAGCACCTGTGATGACAGCATCATTGTGAAGGATGTGTGCACCGTGGTCACCCGGCGTGTGGCCCAGCTCTGTGGTGCAGGCATGGCTGCTGTGGTGGACAAGATAAGAGAAAACCGAGGACTGGACAGCCTCAAAGTGACAGTGGGTGTGGATGGGACTCTCTACAAGCTTCATCCTCACTTTGCCAAAGTCATGCATGAGACAGTGAAAGATCTGGCTCCCAAGTGTGATAAGTCCTTCCTGGAATCTGAGGACGGCAGCGGGAAGGGCGCGGCTCTTATCACTGCGGTGGCCCGCCACATCCGGGCAGAGTTGGAGCCGGAGACCAGACAGGACTTCTGTTTCATGGCCACTTCCCCGCTTTAAATGACGAGGATGAACCCCTTGGCATTTCCTCGGCGGAGGACCCTGTGAGACTGAGATTTTTGTCTCTTTATGTTCACCTTAGAGTTTGACACCCAATCCTTGGCCTTCCCAATAATCAGAATTACGGAATTGTTCATCCCTCCTCCATTTTACTTCCTGTACAATCCTATGGGATGGAGAGAGTCATGATTGCCTCGTTTTGGATCTGAATGTGACATTTGTAGGTGGAGAACATCTCCCTGAGAGGATGTTTGCCTCTGACATTGGGAAGGAGGAGGAGGAGGAGTACAGGGACATCACGTGGGTGGCCGTATCTCTGACCTCTCTTCAACTCAACCATAAGCATCTCCCTGCCAGTTCTAACACTTGCTGTCCTGGAATAGAGAAGCCAAACCAAAGCCAAGCGTTGACACCTCCTTCAAGTGTTTGTGGCTTTACCTCACATGGCATCATCCATGAAAAACAGACCTTGGTCGAGGGTCGGGTAGGGTGGTGGCTTTTGGTAGCTTTTTAATGTTTTTTTCCTCCCCCAGCTGTCTCTGTCTACCCTGCAAGACTCCCGAAAGTTGCTTGCACCCTTCTCCCATTTCTCAGGTAGTATTATATCCTTCTGAGGTCTTTGATGTGGTTGAAGACTAGATAGTTATAATTTCCTCAGTTATGATAAAAGATGTGTTAGATACAAAACCTTAGACTCACAAATATAAGATAGATAGGATATCTTCTTTAATATTGTAACTGTAATTCTTGCTTAATAATTGTTTTGTTGTATGTAATTTTACTATGTTAAAGTTAAAACCTTCCTTTTTGAAAAAGAAGAAAAGGGGAAGTGCTGTGGATATCGCTCTGTATAAACAAACACTGATTGGCCAATATCCAGACAGGAAGTATAGGCAGGACTAACAGAGAGGAGAATTGAGGGAACAAAAAAGCAGAGAGAGAGACTGCCTGGAGCCGCTGCCAGGACAAGTAAGATGTAAGGTACCAGTAAGCCACAAGCCACATGGCAAAGTATAGATTAATAGAAATGGGCTAAATATAAGAGTAAGAGCTAGACAATGATAGGCCTGAGCTAATGGCCAAGCAGTTTAAATAATGTAGGCGTCTGTGTGTTTATTTTATGAGTGGGCTCCGGGATTGGCAGGAATTGGTGGGACCCGGAGAGAAAAGCTCTCCAGCTATAGCTGTGGACTTCCTTTAAGATTGAAAAGGCTCTCCATATTTCTAGTGATATGAGCCTTAAGCTTTCTGCATCTGCAGTCATGCAAGCTGCTTCTTGTCATGCCTCTGCCCTACCATCATGGGCTCTAATGGCATTGGAACCATACACTCTAATAAACTCTTTCTTTTTTAAATATTATTTATTATTTTATTTATTGACCATCGTTTCCACTCCCTACCTCTCCTCCCTGTCTCTCACTCCCACTTTCTCTCTGCACTCTGATCCATTCCTCCTCTGTTCTATCCAGTGAAGGATATGCCTCCCATTTAAATCAATAAAAACCTGACATATCAAGTTTCAGTAAGGATAAGCACCTCCCCTTGTATTAAGGCTGGGCAGGGCAAACCAGTATGACATATAGAGTTCCAAAATAGAGCAAAAGAATCAAAGACAGTCCCTGTTCCCACTGTTAGGAGTCCCACAAGAAGACCAACTACAAAACTATCACATATATGGAGAGGTATGAGGTCAGTCCCATACAGGCTCCCTGGTTGTTGCTTCAATATCTGTGAGCTCCTATAAGCCCAGGTTATTCAATTCTGTGTGTTTTCTTGTGATATCCTTGATCCTTCTGGCACTTACATTCCTTCCTCCTCCTCTTCAGCAGAATTCACTGAGCTGGAATTGGCGTCCAACGTGGTGGCAAGAGTTTCCACCTAAAAACTGAGAAAAAAAGATTCTAAAACGGAGCTAAAAACAGCTTCCTAATTGTCTCCCTCAAATGAGCGGCAGCTGCCGGTTTGAGCTACTTGTGAGTTTCTGGTGTGCGAGTGCAACCTGCAGTATGGCAGGAATGAGGCCTCTGCAAGTGGCACATTAAGCTGCATGGTGGATTTAGCCTTTGCTAGTACAAAACAAAAAAAGAGGTTTCTGGACTACACGATGCTTGGATATAAGCATAGACCCACGATAGTTCCCAGAGCTGGTGGTAAACATAGCCATGATGGGAAGCTGAGGTGGGCGGAGCCAGCAGCCACAGCTGCTGCAGTTTAAAGCAATAGATTCACAATAAGGCAGATTCAGATGTAATAGTTTACAATGTGTGTAAAAGATATGTAGGCTTGAAAGAGACAAAAAAGGTGATATATACAGCTATATAAACAAATACATTGTTTAAAAAAATAAAGTCTTTAAATAGACAGTAAAATTAATATAGAAAATAAGCCACATAAAGATGAATATTACACAGAGAATCTGGATTGTGTTGTCTTTGGGATTCTTAACTGCAGAGAGATATTTAATTGTAAAGGAAGCTGAGTTAAACCAATATGTATATTTTAAAGATACCTTGACTTCAAAATTTGGATATAAGGATATGTTGCTTTGGAAAAGAGTCTCTTTTGTTTCCACAGAAAGCCAGAGGCTATGGATTTGTTCCAGATTAAGATACATCAGGTTTGACCAGCCAAGACCCCCTGAAAGGTCTCCAATGACACCATGGCCCAAATGATCCAACATCCAGAATGGTTTCAAGGCATCTGGTTCAAACAATACAGCCTCATGGACTATTCCATAATTCTAAAATTTTCTTTGTGTCCCCATAAAATACAGCACCCACCTCCAGCAGGAAGTAGTAAGAGAAGCTACGCCCAAATTCCCAAATTATATGTAATTTTACTTTAAGGTTAAAACCTTCCTTTTTGAAAAAAAAAGGGGGCGGGAAGTGCTATGGGATGGTCTGTATGTCAAATGTGTTGCTGATTGGTCAATAAATAAAATACTGATTGGCCATTGGCTAGGCAGGAAGTATAGGCAGGACAAGGAGGAGAATAAAGCTGGGAAGTGGAAGTCTGAATCAGAGAGACACTGCCAGCCACCACGACGACAAACAGCATGTGAAGATGCTGGTAAGCCACGAGCCATGTGGCAAGGTATAGATTAATGGAAATGGACTAATTTAAGCTGTAAGAACAGTTAGCAAGAAGTCTGCCATGGCCATACAGTACTGTGGGATGGTCTGTATGTCAAATGTGTTGCTGATTGGTCAATGAATAAATCACTGATTGGTCAGTGGCCAGGCAGGAAGTATAGGCGGGACTAACAGAGAGGAGAATGGAGAGAACAGGAAGCTGGGTGAGAGAGACACTGCCAGCCGCCATCAGGACAAGGAAGATGTAAAGTACCGGTAAGCCACAAGCCACGTGGCAAGGTATAGATTAATAGAAATGGATTAATTTAAGCTGTAAGAACAGTTAGCAAGAAGCCTGCCACGGCCATACAGTTTGTAACCAATATAAATCTCTGTGTTTATTTGGTTGGGTCTGAATGGCTGTGGGACTGGCGAGTGTCAGAGATTTGTCTTGACTGTGGGCCAGGCAGGAAAACTCTAGCTACAATACAGTTTTTTTTTTCTTTTGTTTTTTCGAGACAGGGTTTCTCTGTGTAGCTTTGCACCTTTCCTGGAACTCACTTGGTAGCCCAGGCTGGCCTCGAACTCATAGAGATCCGCTTGCCTCTGCCTCCCAAGTGCTGGGATTAAAGGCGTGCGCCACCACCGCCCGGCCAGTTTGTAACCAATATTAAGTCTCTGTGTTTACTTGGTCGGGTCTGAGTGGCTGTGGGACTGGCAGGTGAGAGAGATTTGTCCTGACTGTGGGCCAGGCAGGAAAACTCTAGCTACACTGGGCGTAATGTTTGACTTTGGATCTCTGCATCTCTTGCCATCAGTTGCTGGATGAAGCCTCTCTGATGACAATTGGAATAGAAATCTATGAGCATAGCAGAATATGATTAAACATCATTACATTGACATTTTTTTTTTCTCCAGCTGTGTGTGGTTCTAATCCTAGGTCTCTGGGCCAACCAGAATCTGTGTCCTGGCACTCCAGGCAGTATCAGTGGTGGGCACACTCTCTTGGCATAGGTCTCCTCCTGGACCAGTCATTGATTGGCCACTCCCACAATCTCTGTGTCACCCTTAGCACAGCACATCCTTTAGGTTGAAGGTTATGTGACTTGGTTGGTTTCCAATCCCTCTTCTGAAAGTTTTGCCTTGTCACAGGAAATAGGGAGTTCAGGCTCTGTCATCTCTGTTACTAGGAGTCTTAGCTGGGATCATCCTTGTTGATTTCTGAGAGTTTGCCTTGCACCACATTTCTACCTGAACCTGAAAGGCATGCCCCTCTTTCTAGTATTCTCTCCCATCATCCCCATCTGATCTCTCATTTTCCCATCCCTACTCACCCTAGTTCAAACATAAAATCTCTTCCACTTCCACTTACCAGGGAAATCCTAATGTCACCTCCTAAGCCTTCCTTGTTACCTAGCCTCTCTAGCAATAAATGAAAGGATAACCATGCTACCATCCACAGGCACAAACTCTTTTATAAATTTCCTTGGCCATGGTGATTGATCACAGCAACAAAAAAGTTACTAATACAAAAGTATTTAGAATATTAAGATTATTTTAATTTTATACAGTGTATATTCATTCTATAAAGTGATTATGACATTTCAATTTAGTAGTAGAAGATATGTTGAACTTACAAGTGCTTAATTCAATAAAAGGTGAAATTATTCCGACATGACATGTAGAGTCTTTCCATATACTGTGCAGCAATTTACTCCAAATTAAAACATCATCCCCCAGAGAGAGGAGAGAGGTTCATAAGATTCAGGAAGTAACAGAAACTCACAAAGCTAAAACTATTGAAAGATTTACAAACCCCTGTTCATGCTCATATAACTAGTAACAACTGCTGGAAAGGAGGATCCTTTGGAACATAATGAGCTGCTACAAGTCACACAGAATTCCCTGTGCATTCAGCTTTTGAGACTA